TGGCACGTGTTGCATCGGTGCGTGCTCCTGTCGCGCTGGCACGCGCCTGTTGGTGCATACTGCATCGGTGCGTGCTCCTCACGCGCCCTTGGATTGGGTGCTCATTAACGCGCACCTTAAGTGCGTTTCACCGGATCTTCACCCTTGCCTATGCTGATCTAATGGTTGCAGATCCGGTTGCATGGAATATTGGTGCACCGCATTGCACCGGATCGACAGCCTTACTCCGGCGCCACCCTTGCCGCCGACGGTGCTCCAGCCACTGGAGAATTGCTGGAAAAATATTTAAAAACCCAGAATATTAAATTAAGCAAAAAAAAATTCTTGAAAAATTTTGAAAAATTTCAGAAAAATTCCAGAAAATTCCTAAAGCATAATTTAACCCTTTTGGACCTTCTTGAAGCTTCATAGCATCCTTTGATGAAGATTACATGGCTTTAAATAAATTTAAAATTTGAAATACAATGAGAAAAATTAAATTACATCATTGAACTTTTAAACGGCTAAATCAAAGCCTTAATTATATTCATCCAAAAATAAAATTACATTCAATAAACCTATAAGCTTCATCCATGGCCCAAACACACATCATCATCCATTCACAATTATACATACATCATTATGTATCAATATATTAATTCATACATCAACATATATTAATAAATAAATATATGCATATTAAAATTGGATCCATGAATGATGAATTTTGATAAAACATGATCTCTAGTAATGAATCAAACCATACTCTGATACCACTGTTAGGAAACGTGCCTGTTTAAAAACTTTTTGAACGATTTTCATTCACAGATCTTGATTCATCACATAGAGACAAGTTTTATGCAAAAATACAATATGATGTATCATTCAATTAATGGATTGAATACCTACATCAAAGGTCTGAGTAAACTTTTAAATCTTTTCTCTAAAGTGAACGTTCTCACTTATTGTAAATTCCTTAGTAAGATGCCTTCTCCTTAGATCTCCATCTTCTTGGTAATTGTTTTGCCTTTAGGAATCACTCATAAGCCTTTATGAATGACCTTGGAAAACTAGGCTTGTGGGAGCCTCCATTAGATGAGAACATTAACTTTAATTTTCAAAAGAAAGAAAATAGATTCCTTTTTCATTCTTCCAAAAAAAATCACTCATAAAATATACATAGACCATGTATATATATAGGCAACATAAAGATAAAGAAAAGGAAACAATAAATCCTTCTTACTCTCTAATTCACATGTCTCAAATTTAATAGGATTTCACTATCAAGTTGGGCTATGAGTGAGAATTCTTTGGGCTTATTATTTTATTGGCTACAATGAATTAATAATTGGCCCGGTCCATAGATCCAATTCAATTAATTCATAAATTAATTTCTACTCCACTAAAAGAAATTAATTAAACTCCAATTAAATAATAAATAACCTCTAAGTTAATGTTGCACTTTGACTCCTCTATGCATAATTAGTTATCGGATAAATATAGGCATCAATCCGACTACTTAATTAATATATTTATTTTGGTACCTTTGATTATTTCTGGCTCGATCACAATAAAACATTTGTTTGACAAAAATAATAATTTAAATAAATAAATATATAATAAATCATTTTATCTAAAAACACATGAAGACCTTCGAATTTACTTTGTGATCAACCATAATCAATACAAAATAAATACAAGTAGCAATGATGCAAATATTGAAAATATAACCCTTTAACTATTAATTACATAACTACCCAAAGTGTCGGTCTAAGGATCCCGAAATATCTGCTGAACAAATCAAAGTAATTATTAATTAATAAAAGAGTTTATACTTTTCTCATACTTAAGAGTCAAATGCCATGATAGTGATAGGGAGCAATTGCATACGATAACTCTCGCAATATATCTCAACCTAAAGCGGATCCAGTTCAAGTCTTAATTAATTATGAGTCCATCCATAATTACCGACTATGAACAATTTATGATTACTATTTATATTCATGTATTGATCGTCATCACATATATATATAAATATTTCTTGTAATCAAGTGGACACAATTAATTCTATAATAAATCGAAACATAATACATTGAATTCACCAATTGTATAAAGCATAAATATTTCAAAAATGTCAGGAACTTATGTCATTATAATCCAAATGAGAATTTGCTATGCCAGGACATGTAAATCCCAACAGTTTGGAACAGCTCCAATAAGCCCTTCTCAGTTAAGGATGCTGTGAAGATGTCAAAGTCAACCATAACTTGTGGGGCTGTTTGATTCAATGGAGGTGTTCCAAAGCATTGTTTCATCCTCTGGCTTGCTGCTAAGGATAGACTAAGCACTATGAACAAGCTCCTTCAATGATGTATGGCTCAATCAAACCGATATATCCTTTACAGAAGGACTGCTGAAAGTGTTCAGCATCTATTCTTTATAAGTCAGTATGCCTTGATCTAAGAGTCTGTTGCTATTGCTGTTCGAGATTCTCAAATGGAACAATCACAAGTGTCAGTCTAAGAGGAATTGGTACCATCAAGTTTGCAAAATCTTCACATGATTTGGAGAGAAACAAACTCTGTAAGATACTCTAATTCATATTTGGATGAATTCTCTGTGTCTCTTCAAATTACAACTTGATTAGACTTAAAATGTTGCCCTTTACTGCAACTACATTCAAAAGGCATACTGTTGAATACATTCCTTTCGGGAATGTTTGATTCTTTCTGTTGGTTTGCTGTTGAGCTTTGGTTAGTTCTTGTTTGTACTATTGGGGAATGCCCCTTTTAATTCTGTGCTGTGTTTTCTTGAATGAAATAGATAACTTATAAATAATAAGAATAATATTACAAAATAAAAAATCTAAGTTGGAATAACTTGAAGTTATATCAGCCTGCTTCCTTTGAGGTTTTGAATTATATAGCAAATTGCCCCTTGCCGTTAAATACTTGACGTATTATGCTGATGTCAGCATGAGAAAATTGTTTGAAGGTCAATTTTGCCCTTCTAATGTTTAAAATGATATTTTTAACCTCACTGACCAATGTATAGTTACCAATCCATCTGTGACCTATTTAACACCAATGTACCAAATTGACCATCCTCTTACATTAACAAACCCAGAAACATCACACCCAATTCACCACCACCACTGCAAAAGAACACGACACCCTTCTTGGCCTTGGCATTCAAAAATAAAGCGAAGAGGTTACTACATAGCCTTCATCAACACCCCTCTCAACATCAAGACACTCCAATTTTCTCTCCCTCCAAACACCCGACTTGTAGAAACATTTTTGAAAACCCTGGAATAATAAAAGAGCTAAAGGAGAAAAGCCCAAAATTAATTCCTGAAGAGTAACCCTCATTAATCCAAATACACTCGATCTACGGCCCTTGTCTTCAAAAACTCAAAAACTATATATATATATATATATATTCTTTCCAAAACTGTAACTAGATATAACTAAGAAAACAATACCACTCCTGTAACCTGATTTAAGGTGTTTTTCTCTTTTGCCTAACTGCATTAACTTAAAAAATTAAACATTCATATATATATATATACACACACACACACACAAATAGTTGTTGATTTTTTATATTATTACTATGTTCAGCTATCCAAATTTATATATTTAAAAAAAAAAAAAAAAAAAAAAAAAAAAAAAGAAAAACGAAGAATTGGTATGATAATTTTTTTTTGTTTGACATGTTACTCAGGTAAAAGATTATGTAATTGGCCGAGTCAAATGGAAGGGAAGGTGATGTCAATGGAAGCTAAAGGAAAGGTGATATCAATCGAACCAAAACAAAAGGTGATATCAATGGAATCGGGACAAAAGGTGATATCAGTGGAAGCTTAACAAAAGGTTATATAAGTGGAACGGGAACAAAAGGTGATTTCCAGTTCTAATTGTTCACTGGTAGAGACTGGTTTGGTTTAAGCCTTCTATCCTTGCCATTACTTCATTCTATGGTAGAGATTGGTTTGTTATTACATGGTCCCAGGACAATTGGTCTGGGACCAATCATACCATTGTGTGTGCAAGTTATTCAAGTGTTGAATGGTGACGACACAAAAATTTCATAAGACAAACAACCATTTTTAATCAAATTATATTATGCTAGTAGTAGCAGCATCTTCTTTGAGAATTAAGGGAGAAGAAGGCTGTATCAGCCTTGTGAAAGCCCATCTCTCACACATACACATGTATATATCAGATACATTTTAATTAAAGGTTGACAATCAATTTATCTTCATATATTTATTAAATTTTGCACAAAGTTACACACATAACCCAAACACAGTTAAAAGTAGGGTACAGTAGTTGATTGTAGACAATCTAAATCAAGCTAAGTGGGACCAACTATCTGCATAAAAAATGTTGGGCAACATCAGTATTTCACTGTCCTCTAAATGTTCTTGATTCTGGAGGAGTTGTGTAGCAAAATCCTTCAACCAATCCATGCGATCTTCTTCTGGTTGCGTTAGTACTGTTGTTCCATCAAATTCGATTGCTTGTGTGATGAGGTTGCTGCAGTCAAAATCATTCAACCAATCCATGCAATCTTCTTCTGGTTGCGTTAGTACTGTTGTTCCATCAAATTCGATTGCTTGTGTGATGAGGTTGCTGCAGTCTTCAGCTTGCATTAGTACTGACGATAGTAATTTGGGCAGTCTTCAAGTGCCGGAGTTACAGTCACTTTGCACTCCTCTGCTTGCATCACCTTAACGTGGGATTCCACCTTAATTTCTTCCCGCTTTTGCCTTTTAATTCGGCAAATTACAAAGCTAGTAATACTATAAAATCAACAAGTATATAGTGTGTGTATATGAATAAAATCTAATTACGGTTTTAGTAACATAAAAAACAAGGTGCCACAAACATATACAATATTATACAATATAAGATTAGTGCCGGCAAGAAAGTATTCAGTCACGCTCCATCCACTCTTAGCCTTCGGCGTCTTAGCATCCGATTTCATCCTATATGTAAAAGTTCTCTTCCTTCCTATCAAAGAAGCTGTTCTTGATCATCTTCTTCCCGGGTACCAGTAGTACCATTGACATATTTTATAGGTTTAGCCTTGTCTTGTCCCTTCCATGTACCCATCGTCGTCGTCACACGATCGATCCTCGAACCGTTTCTGTGCTTCTTCTTCAACTTGGTGAAAAAATAAAGAACTTTTTCTTCCGAACCCTCGAAAAGCTCCAAGGGCTCCATGCCGTAAATGTCACAGTCCTTCACAACACCCTCCCATGGCAGGGCTTCTTCCTTCGCCTTGCACATAAGATACTGAATTAACTCACTGTCGGTTGGATGAAACTTATAACCAATGAAAATTTCTTCCATATCTTTCCTGATCAGCAGCACCTCGAGTCACCTCTTCACATGCAATAACTCCCTGTAAAGCTAGACGCAGTTGAGCCCTATTGATTTGGTCAGCCAAGGACTCCAAAGCGCTAGGTCTATTCCAGAAAAGCAGTCGGCGGCAGTTGCAGTAGTCTTTCTTTGTAAAACCTAAAATCCGATTTGCCGCCTCCAATTTAGTCTTTATTTGGAAAACCTAAAATCTAGATAGAAATGATGAGAGCAGAGCGTTCCTTGGCCTTTTTATATAGGTAACTTACTTGCCATAAAGGTTAACGCCTCCAATTTAGAAATTAAAGACAAAAAAAAAAATTATCTAATAAATTGACAATTTTGCCCTCTCACCCCTCCTACCCAATAACTTCTGTTTTTTTTTTTTTTTTTTTCTTTTAGTTGAGAAATAAAAAATAAACAGAAAGAAAGACCATTGATCCCTGCAACTTTTTGGTTCAGGCGGTGATTTTGATTTAAAAATTTTATTCTACTTCCACGTAATGCAAAAAAAATTATTTCAAATTGGTAAGCCGATTTAGCTTTGCCAATATATATTTTTTTTTAATAATATACCTAGCTTGCTATTTTTTCCTTTTTTTTCATTATATACTTATAAAATATTGATATTACCCCCTTAAAATTATTAAAAAATTCATTCTTGCCCCTACCTAATGTTTTGGGTCAGTACGACAATTTTTTTTTTCATTTTTTTTTTTTTTTTGAAGGAGATGTAGGAGGGTAAAATTTTCCTAGGGATAAATTTTGGAGTGCCAATATCATCACATTTTTAATAAAATACTATAAAATTGGTACAAAAAAATTAGAAACAAATTATCATTAATCAAGTAACGTTAATTGGGTTGTGGATTTAAATGAAGACTTTTTATAATACCAATTTGATTATTGTTATAATTTGGTTAGATTTAAGCCAACTCATTCACCTGGGGTTAAAAAATAACAATAATAAGTGACATTTGTCATGCAATTTCTAATGTACGAAAGAAAAAAATATATTATGGTTTTTCATCAAAGATTTTATAACAAAATTTGAATAATTTTTGTAGCAACTTAAAAAATTAGTTACATCATTGTTTGACCAAAACTTAAGTGCAATTTACTCATAGAATAATCATCAAGTCTACCAATTGTATAAGCCCTCCCATGCTGTGAGTTAAAGACAACTATTTACAACTTAAACACTTTTCGGATGATGACATCTTCAGATTTGGTAAGGTAAAATGAATAAAGATACCCCAACGATAAAATACAATAAAAGTACATACTTGCCTTTGACTTCTGAATTGACCCATGTGAAATATTGAATTACCTTTATAATCTCCTATTAATTGACCAAAATAGCCCTCAAAAATGAAAAAACAAATATGATTGCATTGTGACCTGTTTTTTTCTTTTTCTTTTTTTTTTTTTTTCTTTGTTTTTGTAGAAGAAAAATGTGACATGTTGTGTAAATAATGTTTCAGTAAACACTAAGAAATAAAAAGATTAGTTTATGTGTGATATTTAATATAGGGCTATTAAAAATGGTCTTTTAATATTTAATATGTTACTACGGAATAATAAAAAATATATATTTAAAAATCATATTTCTTACTTTTTGAAATGCAAAATAAGAGTTTTGTATTAGAATTTTGTTTAAGTATTAGATAATATAATTAATCCATCTATTTTAGCGAGCGTATTAAACTTGGAAAGAAAAAATTTTCTTATAATGATTTTATATTATTTTAAAATTTTAATTTTACATTACTAGTTACCCTCTTAAAAATTCTTGGCTCCACCCTTGTTTGTTTGGCAGTTACAGTGGTGGAGTTTGGTGGTGGTTTTTTTTTTTTTTTTTTTTTTTTTTTTTTTTTTTTTTTTTTTCTTTCAAAGGGTCATTTTGGTCAAATAAAAAGACTTATAAATGTTAATATTATACTTTAATGATTTAAATGGGCCAATTTAATAGTCTAACAATTACGTACGGAATGTTGTTGTTCAAGTTTGCAAATTTGGGAATAATTGGATTGCACTTTCTTTTCTCTAAATTGTATCTATCTATCTTTATTATAAAACAAAGGAAATATGAGTACAAATTATCTGATATTCTCACCGGGGCACTCCCCTTATAGTATGGTATTAATAACTTTTAATAATCGATACATCCTGTCAAAATAATTGTTTCATAATTCTAAGCATACCCGTTTGGGGGCATATCTATAATTCAATAATTAAAAACTCTAAGACTGCCGGTGAGAATACTTATGCAAATTACGTGCGTCTGCAAATCATGATATTCTCTCTGTCGGGAAACGTGCTAGTTTTAAAAAACTTTTCGAGAGATTTTAATTCATAGATCTTGATTCATTATATAGAGACAAGTTTTATGCAAAAATAAAACATGATGTATCATTCAATTAAAAGATTGAATACTTACATCAAGATTTGAGTAAACCTTAAATCTCTCCTCTAAAGTGAATGTTCTCACTTATTGTAGATCCCTTTTGCTAGACACCTTTTTCATGAATCTCCATCTTCTTGGTAATGGTCTTGCCTTTAGGAATCACTCATAAGCCTCCATGAATGACCTTGGAAAACTAGGCTTATGGGAGCCTCCATTAGATGAGAACATAAACCTTAATTTTCTAGAGAAAATAAGTTTATATTTCCTTCTTCCAAAAATCACCCCTAAAATATACATAGACCATGTATATTTATAGGCAACATAAAAATAAAGAAAAGGAAACAACAAATCCTTCTCAATCTCTAATTCATATGTCTCAAATCTAATATGATTCCAATATCAAGTTGAGCTATGAGTGAGAATCCATTGGGCCTATTATTTTATTGGTTACAATGAATTAATAATTGGCCCAGTCCATGGACCCAATTCAATTAATTCATAAATTAATTTCTACTCCACCAAAAGAAATTAATTGAACTCCAATTAAATAATAACTAACCTCTAAATCAATATTACACTTTGACCCCTCTATGCATAATTAGTTATCGGATAAATAAAGCCATCAATCCGACTACTTAATTAATATATTTATTTTGGTACCTTTGATTATTTCTGGCTTAATCACAATAAAACATTTGTTTGACAAAAAATAATAATTTAAATAAATAAATATATAATAAATCATTTTGTCTAAAAACATATAAAGGCCTTCGAATTTACTTTGTGATCAACCATAATCAATACAAAATAAATACAAATAGTAATGATACAAATATTGAAAATATAACTCTCTAACTATTAATTACATAACTACCCAAAGTGTCGGTCTAAGGATCCCGAAGAATCCGCCGAACAAATCAAAATAATTATTAATTAATAAAAAAGTCTATAATTTCTCATGCTTAAGAGTCAAATGCCATGACGGTGATAGGGAGCAATTGCATACGACGGTTCTCGCAATATATCTCAACCTAACGCAGATCCAGTTCAAATCTTAATTAATTATGAGTCCATCCAGAATTACCGACTATGAACCGTTTATGATTACTATTTATATATCATGCATTAATTGCCATCACATACATATATATAAATATCTCTTGTAATCAAATGGACACTATCAATTCTATAATGAATCGAAATATAATACATTGAATTCACCAATTGTACAAAACATAAATATTTCAGAAACGTCAGGAACATATGTCACTTTAATCCAAATAGGAATTTGCTATGCCAGGGCATATAAATCCCAACAACTCCCACTTACCCTCATAGCCAATTCAAATTGCACTTAACTCCAATGTTATCCAGATGATGATCAAAATTATTGATCAATGACACCTTTGATAATGGATCAACAAAGTTGTGTTCCAATGCAATGTTCTAGCTACAAATACATTTTCTTGCCGGACAATATCATGTAGAACATGATACTTCCTCTCAGTGTATCTTGTTCCTTTATAGAACCTTGGGTTATTGGTTTGGACTACTTCTGCACTATTGTCACAACATAGCTCAATAGGCAGGCTAGTATACTCCACAACCTCTAAATCAGTGAGATCAAACCAATAGGCTTCCTTTGCCGCCTTAATGCTGCAATATATTCCACCTGCAGGTTTGAGTCAGCAGTTGAAATCTGCTTAACAATCTGCCAACTGATTTCCCTTCCATTAAGTGAACATACACTAAGTTATGAACATCATAGTATCTACTTCTGATTGAAAATCAGAACTAGCATACCTGACTAGGACCATATCATCACATCTATAATTGAGTATGATATCCTTGGTCCTCCTTAGATACTTAATGATATTTTTCACAACAGACCAGTTATCAAGTCCAGGATTGGACTGATATCATCTGACTATCCCTACAATGTAGCGGATGTCCTATTTGGTATAGACCATGGCATATATGAGACTCTCATATGCCAAAGTATATAGTTTCAGTCTCATTTGCTCAATCTCCTCTGCTAGTATTGGAAAACTACTTACTAGAGAGAGCAATCCATATCAATAAAGTAAGAACTCATTCTTTGAATTATGCATACCAAACCTGGTCAAAACTTTATCAATGTAGGATTATTAAGATAAGCCTATTTTCCTTTTAACCTGATCTTGCAAAAGCTTAATTCTAGGAATATAGCTTACATCTTGAGAATCCTTCATTTAAAAGTAATTGAACAACTACCTTTTTATCGATGACAAATCTTCCACATCATTCTAAATGAGTAGAATGTCATCAATACATATATAGAATCAGAAAAATAATGACATTCCCTTGTACACTCATAATTTATTCACTAAAAAATCTTCTGGTATCTTTTTGTAGATTAACTTGCCTTCCATAGGAATCACCCTACTAGAAAGTTCTACAAGATCCCAGAATTTATTAGAATACATAGATTCCAACTCTGATTTCATAGTAACTCGCCAAAACTATCTGTATCCATATCGGTTCACGCTTTCGTGTAGCTTACTGGGTCCAATTCATGTTTAACAAGGATGTCCATAATGGTCTC